TGAGGTCTACTGAGGAAACACGGGACACAACCAGGAAGAGGAGCAGGTTTAGGAAAGTGGCCCTGAGCAGAAATTGCAAGTTGTTCTCCAAATATCCACTTGACCTTTTTTCTTGTGGGCAACTGCTCCCCTCACATTGGGAGTTAGCCACCTGTGACTAAGTCACAATGAGGAGAGTGTAGAAGTGATGTTTGCAAGGTCTGAGTCAGGCTCTTAAAAGGAATGAAGTGTGCTTGCCTTTTATCCATCCCTCTTCCTGTAGGGCAGAATATAGAAGTAGTTTTGAGCCGTCTTTGATAAGGCAGATGAGCGTAGTATCTCAGAAATGGAGARGCAACAAGGTGCAGTCTGGGAGCCAAACACACTGGTCCTGAGCCCCACTATCCTAGACTATCATGTGAGGGAGAAATAAACTTGTCACTTGTTTAAGTCACTTTGGGGGGACTGAGGTCGGGGTGACAGAGAATCTCTTGTTATAGAAGCCTAGTCTGTATTCTTTTAGAAGATGCTATATAAGAAGTGGATAATTGGGGTGGGAAGTGATAGAAGATAATGTGCCTGTCATATCTCCTGGCAGGATGCACAACTGAGGGAGGATCTCAGTTGCTGTACTCTGAGTTCATTCCCGGGGTGCTCTTAACCAGTGAGGGAGCCTGGCAAGGGTGCTAATGTGGACCCATTCCTGCAAGATTCCTGCCCTTCGGTGGGCAACATTGGCTCTAGGAATCACCTTTGCCTTGACCAGGAAGTCTCAGCTGAAAGTGTCAAGTTAGGAGTTTGGAGTTTGGTGATGGTTGGTGAATTAAAATAAAAGTGATCATCCTGGGAGAGTGAGGATAAAAGGACTTTTATTGTTATGTGCTTCCTACAAGCCAGGAGAAGTTCTAAGAGCTTTAGTCATAGGAAAAGGTAATATGATTCCTTGAACTTCATATTACCTATGTGGTTGGGTGTCAGACACAGTTGTCTCCAATATGCTTGCTTCTTTTCTCTCTTCCTTCTTTCCTTTCCTTTTCCTCCCTCCCTCCCTCCCTCCCTCAATACCTCCCTTCCTTCTTTTCTTCCTTTTTTTATCTTCTTCCTGGCTTTTTTTTTTCTGGTTTTCTTTTTTTGCAGTATTGGGGATTGAGCCCAGGGGTTCTCACCACTGAATTATATCCCCAACCCTTTTTATTATAAGACAGGGTGTCCTCAAACCTCTGAGTCTCCTGCCTCAGTCTCCCAAGTAGCTACGATTATAGGTGTGTACCACCACATCTGGCAAGAACACTAAATTTTTAGAGAAACGACAAAACAAGGAAAAATAATTTTCAGTTATTTTCTGGTGGTAAAGCTTGTTAACATAAGGTCATCTGGTGCCATCTGTAGGTTAGTAAGTGTCCAAAGTTGTCTGGAGTGGTTAGCTGTTCTCCCAGGTAGAAGGGGCACAGAATTTCTTTTGTCTTTGTCAATCCTGCTTTTAGAACAATAGAGGAAGGGCAGAGAGCTTTCTGCATGTCAGTTTCTTCTGTTTTTTGCTCAACAATCCTTCATATTTTGGGGAGGTAGGTCTGGTCTCCCACAGTTAACTAGCAGCAGAATCTAATCCTCATACAGATAGTTAACACTATTCACATTTTACATATGATGAAGTACAAAGGTGAAGGAGTTTACCTAAACTTGCTCAGTAAGTGGTAGAGCCAAGATTAGGACCCAAGCATTGGGATTGGTCGCTGCCAATGTGCTCCACCAGTGTCACAGGAAACTTCACCATGTTTACTGCATGGATGGTACAGAAAGCCTTCACACTGACTTTCTACAATTCCTACGCTATTCACATTCCATCTTCAAAATGTCCTCATTAGTGTCTCCTTGCCAGTTCTGCTTTGTGAAAATCTTACTTTCCACTTGGGTCCTTTTGTAACTTATACATCTTTGCTGATGCTTCTCTTGGGTCTGGAATGATCTCTCACAGCTTTGCCTACTGAAATTCTATCCATTCATCAAGGCCTAGTTCTTCTTTCATATCCCTTCAACGAATATCATCTATGCTTATGAACTGATTATTTATTCCACCAATATTTATTGAAATMTGCTCTGTGTTAGGTACGGGGGATTCTAGCATGTGCAAAACAGATGAACTGTTGCAAAGTACTGTACTTCTCTTTGTGTTTGCTAACAGGAGTAACTTTCGAACTTTAAGGGTTTTTTTGTTTGTTTTTGTTTTTGTTTGGGGTATTGGGGATTGAACTCTGGAGCACTCAACCACTGATCTACATCCCCAGCCCTTTTCTGTCTTTCATTAAAGACAGGGTCTCACTGAGTTGCTTAGTACCTTGCTTTTGCTGAGGCTAGCTTTGAACTCGCAATCATCCTGCCTCAGCCTCCCAAGCCACTGGGATTACAGGTATGTGCCACCACGCCTGGCTTGCTTTTAAAGTTAAAAAAAAAAAAAATCTTACCACAAGATATGACACTAAACACACCCATACACAACAATTTAAAGAAACAATATTGACCTTAACCATATGAAATCACTCTGATAAATTCTATGTCATTGGGGCTGGAGTTGTGGCTCAGTGGTAGGGCGYTTGCCTAGCATATGTGAGGCATTGGGTTTGATTCTCAGCACCACATATAAATAAATAAAAGTCAATCAACAACTAATAAAATATTTTTTAAAAATTTTATGTCATTAAGATAAAAATGATGGTTGATACCTCCTAAAAGATTTTACAGCCTATAAATAGGTTCAAACACCTAAGTTTAAGAAATGTTCATTCCTTTATTCATCCAGTCATCCAAACAGATTTCCTCTGAGTTGGACACAGTTCTGGCACAGGGATATAGAGGAGTGCCTTCTTTGAAGGTCACCAGGCCAATGCAGATAGCAGGCTGAGAGCAAAGACTGTACATAGAATGCTGTGTGCTACAGTGGCAATGTGCTGGAGCAGATGTGCTTACTGGTAGCTCAATAAATATGAATGGAATTAAACTGAGGCAAAGGCATAAGAGTTATAAAAAGAGACAAGAATAGTGACTTTCTCAAAGGCAGAACCTTAGCAGCTCATAGGTCTATTGTGACTTGGAAACTGCTCCAAGTCCTGATTCTCTAGTGAAGTGCAATGCTACAGTCAATCCTCTCAGCTGCCTTCCCTAAAGGTGAAAATGGTTTGGGTTTACCCAGCACAGATTGATTATGGGAAAAAAGAGATACCTTGAACATTTTGCATTTTTTCTTCTCAAGCCTGTCAGGGTTATCACCTTGGCTTGGCTACAGGCAGGATGCCAACTCACTCATCTCCTGGTCACCTCCCAAATCAAACCAATCAAAACCTGTTGCTAGGGCTACAAGCATGCACCCATCCATACGTATCTGAAATTGCTTTCTTGATTTATTATTTTAGGACAATATAACTCTTTTTAAAATGTGTTTAATATTTATTTTTTAGTTGTAGTTGGACACAATACCTTTATTTTATTTTATTTATTTTTATGTGGTGCTAAGGATCCAACCCATGGCCTCACACATGGTGAGTGCTGTACCAAGACCCCAGCCCTGATAATTTAATTCTTGATAATTAATCTACATAAGATATTTTCATTTACATTGTAACATAGTTATTTCCCTTGGAATTAATTCTTTTGTGTAACTGTTGTAATTTTTTATCCACCTAACATTTTAGTGATTGTAACTTTTATCTTCCTAAGTTTTCTAGTGCCTTTATTTGCCACCAGGTTCAAATGGATCATATTTAAATCTTATCATGTAATATTCTATCAGTAATATTCTTTCTGAATTGGCAAAAAGATGAGCAGATAATCCAGGAGAAAATGGTGTCCACTAATTGTCATTCCAGTTTTTCCCTGATACCTTCCATCAGCTGTCCATGATTTTGGTGAAGTATGAAAGGTGAAATCACAATGTCACTTTGTTTTGGGGTAAAAGCACTGTAAGGCAGTATATTAAACAGTTGTAGGTCTTTGGAAGATGATGTTGGAATGCAGTAGCTCCAGTAAGCAAATGGAGAAAAGCCATCCTTGACCGTTAGTTTATTACATGGATGAGCACAGACCACAGGCACAGAACAGGTGAGCACAGGGGAACAGAACAGCCAGGTACTCTCCCCGCTTACATTATCAAACCCATTTTATCTGCAAAATGAATCTCCACATATACCTTAGTAACATTTTCCAGTTGGTACAAAGTTTTTGCTAGATGGTGAAAACATGTAAAAGGAATCATTAATACCCACTTACTTATTGCAAGGTGCATTGAGCTGCAGTCACATGAGCTTGCAATCACAATATTTCATTCTCTCTACAGGATTATGACATGAATAAAATGTAAATATTCCTGAAGTAACCCAGCACTCGGTTGCTCGTGCTATTCCACCAGGTGTTGGAAAGGCCAGAGACTTGGCCTCCAAGAGACAAGCGAGGTCCACAGCTGTGCATGAACTTTGGGACAAAACCCTGCACAGGGTGCGGTGGGAGCGCGCGCAGCGGGACCGAGTCKCGCGGTGAGCGCGCTGGGTCTGGGGTCGGGTCGGGTCTCAAACTCCGTGTTCACCTAAAACCAGGACCCAGCCGGCCGCAGGCAGCCCGCAGCGCCGGCACTGAGCGCCGCTCCCCCGACTCCCCGCCGCGCTGCCTGTCATTGGAGATAACTGCAATCGCAATAAGCATCCCGAGTCGTGTCTCGGCCACTCGCAGGCGACCGAGGCTTCCCTTCCTGGCGTTTGCGGGGCCAGACGCGCAGCGGAGCCCGGGGCCTCCCCTCCCGCCGCCCCGGGCCCTCGAGCCCGAGTCCCTTCCAGCACCCCGACCTCCCGGAACCCGGCCAGCGCTCCACGGCGAGCCGCAGCCGAGCGGGTGGCGGGGCGGGGCGGAGCCGGGGGCGGGGATTTCTGGCACTTTCTGGGCGCTGCGAGCGTGCTGCTCCCGGCTCGGAGGCCGGAAACGCCGGCGCGGAGCCGCAGCCGCCGCGGTCCGTCCTTGTTCTCTGCGGAGGCCAGGCAGCCATGGCCAAGTGGGGCCAGGGGGACCCGCGCTGGATCGTGGAGGAGCGGGAGGACGGCACCAACGTGAACAACTGGCACTGGTGCGGCAGGCGGGGGCGCGGCGGGCGGCCTCTGTCCTCCCGGAGCCGGGCTGGGCCGCAGGGACCGGGCCTCCCTGGGCCTCGCGGCCMGGCGGGTTGGGTGGGATTGGGCCAGGCGCTCTCCCCGGCGGCCGAGGACCGCTGCCCTGGGGCCCTCTGAGGCAGGAGGTGATGCTCCTCCCTACCCTGCTCGCCCGGCTTCAGGCTCCTCCCTGAAAGTTAGGCTGGGCCCCACGAGTGACTTCTGATGTCCCCTTTCTCCTCTGACAGCCTCAGGGAGGCCGCAGACCTTAGGGCCTCTGGCCTCACCCCACCCTCTGCCCTCTCCCCACCCTCTGCCCTCTGGATGCCCCTGGATATTAAAAGGGAGTTGGGTTGTGTGCGTGCGTGTGCGTGGGGATGTCTTGATGTGGAGAGGACCGCAGGAATTTGGGTCCTTCTGCACCTACCTAACTTGGTGGTCCACCCTTGAGCCCTGCTTTCTTTGAATTTGAGCTAGTTAGCGTCCTCTTTGTACCTTATCAGAAACATGGGATGATGCCTGCCTCCCTCTCTCCCTTAGAGCTTCAGGAAGGGATGCCCTCAGGTCCCCAGGGCTGGGGCACCTCAAGACCAGCAAGAGCCTTCTGAGACAGGTCCTAAGTCAGAGCCAAGCCACCAACCTGTGGGGATGGCAGCATGACTTGGCTGGCACTTTCTGGGCGCCGCGAGTTTCCCAGGCCCAGCTCCATGGATAGGGCACTGACTTAGCCCATTTCTTTCCTCCAAAATGGGAATATTATTTGAGAAGATTGCATGAGGTAATGCATATGTGGAAACACTTGTAATTGGTTTTGTCATGACTGGTGTTCTTTCAATTATTACCCTATTTACATATATGTGGCCCAGGCTTTGCCCATCTATTTCCAATGTGTGAGATTTCTAGACCCTCTTTCCCCCAAAAGATAGTGTTTTTTTTAAGACAAAATATGATTTGGCTGATAACAAGGAACTCAGCAGGAGGATTAGAAGATACTTGGTATGAAGCTTGCTGGAGAAGCATGYTGGAGGGTGGCAGGCTTCTTAAGGCAATTTGAGAGGACTTGAGCTGATCTGGCTGGGCCTGGATGCCACCGGGGTACTCAGTCTGGTCTGGTGGATAGCAGCCGGGGCTTCCATTCACCACTGTGCCCTTATGATCCCTGGCAGGACAGAGAGAGATGCCACCAGCTGGTCCAAGGGGAAGCTCCGAGAGCTCTTGGTGGGCATCACTGTGGAGAATGAGGCTGGCCACTGTGAGGTCAGTGAACTGAAGCAGGTGGAAGGTGAGGCTTCCTGCAGCAGCCGCAAAGGAAAGCTGATTTTCTTCTATGAGTGGAACATCAAGCTGGGCTGGAAAGGTAACGTGTGTGTGTGCTTGTGTGTGTGTGTGTGTGTGTGTGTGAGAGAGAGAGAGAGAGAGAGGGAGAGAGGGAGAGAGAAGGGTGGAACTGCGAACAGCCTGGGTCAGTCAGTTTATTCTTTCAGTGAATATCTTTTAGGCCTCTGAGTTGGCATTAGTAGTTCCTGACACTAAGACTGCCCTTGGTGTTGCTGGGTCCCGGAAGCTGGAGCTCCCCTTTCTTCCTGCAGTCAGGCTGCTTGGAGCTCATTGGGCTGAAGTGACCCTTTTCTACAGGCACCTGTGCTGGAGCCTCCTGGAGTTGCTCCCTGGAACAGCCTCCCTTCCTCTGGCAGCTGCCTGCCTCCTCAGGTTCTTATCCTGAGTGAAGCCCTCTCTCTCCATCCTGTAATGAATTGCAGACCCCTCCTTGTACCCTCTCTCTTCCTACTTGATTTTTCCCTAAAGTGTTGATACTTGGTATGCTCTATGTGATACTCCTCCTCTTCTCTTCAGCAGGGCAGGAATTTTTGTTTTCTTTTTTTTTAGTTGTAGGTAGACACAATATCTTTAATTAATTAATTAATTTATTTATTTATTTATATGTGGTGCTGAGGATCGAACCCAGGGCCTCGCACATGCTAGATAAGTGCTCTACCACTGAGCCACAACCCCAGCCCCAGGGATTTATTTCTATAGCAGAATTATTGAGATACAACTCACATACTTTATAATTCACCCATTTTAACATGCATCATTGAGTGGCTTCTCAGTATATTCAGAGTTGTATATTCAGATTGTCACCACAGTCAACTTTAGAACATTTCTTCACCCCAGAAAGAAATCCTGTGCCATTAGCAGTCATTCCCGGTTTCCTTTTTCCCAGGCTCCTGGCAGCCGTCAGTCTACATTTTATCTCTATGGATTTGACTCTGAACATTTTATATAAAAGGAATCTTTTTTTWAAAAAARAWTTTTAGTGGTAGTTGGAYGCAAACACCTTTATTTCACTTGTTTAATTTTTTATGTGGTGCTGAGGATCGAACCCAGGATCTCCCATGTGCGAGGCGAGCGCTCTATGGCTGAGCCACAACCCCAGTTCCTAAAAGGAATCTTACTGTATGTGGTATTTGGTGTTGGATTTCTTTTACTTCATGTTTTTCAAGGTTTGTCCATGGTATAGCACACATGAGTGTTTCATTGTTTCTTATAGCCTAGAAACATTTCATTGTATGGATGGACCACATTTTCTTTATCCGTTCATCAGCTGATGGACATTTTGGTTGTTTTTACTTTTGGGGCGTTTGGGCTGAATTTTCCTGTGTACTTAGCTCCTGGCTGGATGGACAGAGTGTGTGCAATAAATAACCAAGGATATGGAGACAGAGGAAAAGGAAGAAGAGGATAAAGGGTGGGAGCTGGTTGTGGAGGATTGTGCTGTGTTCAAGTTTGGGCCTCAACCCTAGAGTCAGCTCTTCTCTGGAGAATTTGTCGGAGATCAGCCTGTACCTGGCCACAGCCTGGGGCTGCCTTCCTAGCAGGAGCCAGAACCCAGGGAGGCAACAGCAAGCTTCAAAAGCAGTTCTACCCTGCCCTGCCTTGCAACAGGACCCTCCAGTTGGGAGTTTGTCCTCAGTTTCTCTCCCACTGGCTATTGCTGGCTCCTGCCTTCTTCCCCAGGGCAGGGCTCTAGGTCCCTGAGGAGCCTCCTGGCCTGTGTCTGTTCCTTTTCCTTGGCCCAAAGCAGTAGCCCTTCTGGAATGAAGAAATAGTTCTCTAGCTCCAGGAGTGACACAGCCCTGATCACAGTGCTTGGCACCAGCCTTTGAAAGGTCATCGTCCTGCACCTGGAGGGCCTCTCTGAAGAGGCTGGCCTGGAGCTGATCTGTCAGCTATTCCCATTGTCTGTGAATTATAAGAACATGAAGCCCATCAAGCCCATGTAGTTTCAGTGGGGTGAAGAGACCAGACTGTGCATAAAGCCCTGCAAGCTGCAGTCAAGAAGTGAAGGAGAGCAAGCAGGGCTTTGTTCTAGGGACATCCTCCACTTCCACGTCACTGTTCTGCACCTCTTCCCACCTTGCACGTGTCACATTGACCACATCTGTAGGCCTATCTGGTAGCTCCCATTTTATTTTAGCATTTAGTCTCCTCATCTACTCCCTCAGAGACTCTAGTAAGCGACACCTGTGTGGCTTGGAGCTCAGTCCATGCTGACAGCCCTCCTCTTATCCTGGAGAGTTGAGAGGTGCTAATTGGGGCTTTGACTAGTGCTGAGGACTTGCGTAAGGAAGGGTGAGGAAGATCATGCCAAGGCATGACCAATGTGAAGCCAGAGGGCGGTGTGTGCTCTGGAAGTGAGTCCTGCACTCTTCAGGTCTCTTTTGGGGTGGGGGGAGGGGAGTCAGGAAAGGTCTAGTCATTTCAGTGGAAGGTGAATGTAACCTGCATTGTGATTACAAAAAAAAAAAAAAAATAAGGTGGGGGGGTGCTGGGATTGAGGCTCAGTGGTAGAGCGCTCATCTAGCACATGTGAGGCCCTGGGTTCGAGCCTCAGCACCACATAAAAATAAATAAACAAAATAAAGGTATTGTGTCCAACTACTTCTAAAAAAAAAAAAAATCCTCTTTGACTTCAGAGGCTCTGCAAGGTTGGGATCAATCCTGAATTAAGTTTATGTGTTGGGCTGGGATATAGCTCAATTGGTAGAGTGCTTTCCTCGCATGCACAAGGCCCTGGGTTTGATCCCCAGCACCACACACACAAAAAATGTTTATTTATGTGTTACATTTATTTTGACCAAAAAAAAAAAAAACCAAAAAAAACAAACACTTGAGGTAGTCTTACATGTGGTCATCAGAAAATAAGCCATTTCTGATGCTTCTGCTCCTTGAGAACTCCTTTCCTACCTTGTCTAGTGGTAGTGAAATGCCTCTAGGTCATGCCCAGATATCTTTTGCTGTGTCTGATTTCTGAAAAATGTTCCAGTTGGTTGGCTCTGCCATTGGAGCCCAGTAGTCATTTTGAATGTAACTGCACTCAATACTTTTTCCAGATCAGTATAATAGAGGAGTGATGTGCAACTAAAATATAAAAATCCCAGGCTACAGGCAGAAGGCAGCTGCGAGGGCTGCAGTTGTGTCCTTGCAGTAGCCGCACTCAAGTCCTGGAGGAAATCCAGCCACACACAGACCATGTGAAACTTCTGGGAGCTATAGCCCTCTTCCCTTCATGCTTTCTGTAACCAGATCTCCTTATCCCTTTCTGTCCTTCCATCCCTAAGTGGCTACTCCCCATTAAGAAAGCTCTTCATCCTGCTTTGACCTGCCAAAGAACACTGGGACAAGAAGGGCAATATGAGCAGAGTTCAGTGGCACTCACCTGACTCTGAGTCTGAGGCAGGAGGATCATAAGTTCAAGGCCAGCCTCAGCAATTTAGCAAATTTCTGTCTCAAAAAAAAAAAAAAAAAAAAAAAAAGCAGGGGCTGAGGATGTAGTTGAGTGGTAAAGTGCTTGCCTGGCATGCATGAGGCCTTGAGTTCAAGTCCCAGAATCACCAAGTAAGAAAGAAAGAAAGAAAGGAAGGAAGAGAAGGAGGGAGGGAAAGAAAGCAAGCTGACCTTAAGTATATATATATATATATAAAAGGTGGAGAGGGGCTGTGGGCTGAGGATGTAGCTCAGTGGTAAAATGGGCCTTGGTGCAGTCTCTAATACCATAGCGGGGAAGGAAAACAAAAAACAAAAAAAAACCAAGGAAAACACAAGTTACGGACCCTCTTCCTCCTGCCAAACTGCTGTCCCTGACTTCTGTGCACCACTGGTTGGCCAGTCTTGTGCCATCTGTCCTGGCTGCTCCTTTCTGATGTGGCTGCAACCTCTGAGGGAGGTGAGACCTCTGTTTTGCGTAAAACCAGTTGTGCGTATTTTTTTTTTTAATCAAAGAACCCATTTTGCTTATTTTTAGGTACACTTACAGAGTCTGGTGTGAAACACAAAGGATTGATTGAGATACCAAACCTTTCTGAAGAAAATGAAGTAGATGACACCGAGGTATCCGATGGAGTTTTTTTTCTTTTTCAGTTTTTCAACTCCAGCTTCGGCTATAGATGTTGGGCATTTGCATAATTGTTTCCCAGACTATGACTCTTGGGTGGTGGTTGTGGTGAATTGTGGACGGCTTCTTTTCCAAGAAGGATGCTTCACTGTGTGGAGCTAGAGTGGCGAAGGAAGAGGAGGAGCTCCAGGAAGCCTCGATTCCCCCGGGGACCAGGTGGGCCCTGGGCAGGTGACTGTACCCTTCACAGCCTCCTCATCTGGAAAATGGGCATAATTTATGCTTCAGGGGTGTCACCAGGTTAAAATGTGACAAAAATGTATGTACTGTCCAGTGCTCAGGCCACTTGCATGGCTTGCTGAATGTGACTTTATTTCACTTTCCTTGTACCTTTGCTGTTTCCCTCTAAGTGACAATTCTCGGCCTTTAGCTATGTTCTCCCTTGGGTATGTCATGATTTTTTGTAAACTAGTATTTAGTAGGTGTTGCTTTTGACCGGCTCTCCCAGTCCTCCTGGAGATGGAGCCTGTGTCAGTCCTGTGCCTGGCTTGCTGGTGGTGCCCTCTTGATGTGGAAAGCCTGTCTCTGAGGGAGAGACCATTTGTAGAGCAGCTATATTTTCCGAAACAAAATAGTCTGGTGAAGGGTCTTTTTTGTGAATGTACTTAACATGAAGGCTTCCCAAAACGCAGGAACTCAGTCCTGCTGAGCAGTGCCTGGAGTGTGCACAATCTCCCCACTGGCCGTGATGGAAGGATATCAAATGCCCTAAAGGCAGGGCTGCCTTCAGACTCGTGTGGCCACACATCAGGGGCTGGGATGGTTTCACTTGGTTAGATTCAGATCATCAGCTGAGAAGCTTTTCAATAGCTTGTTAACCTGGTCTTTTAGATTTTGACCCTCAGGAACATTATAGAACAAACTCTAGATTTGAAGAGGCCTGGGCACGGAGCCCAGCTTAACTGCATCAGGACTGAAGCGCCTTCAAACCAACATCTCTTTTGTTCTGAGAAAACCACTGAGTGCTCTTGATGCTTACCTTCTCCTTCTGTCTTCTCCATCCGTACTCTGCTCTTTCTTCCATACATTCCCTTGCCTAGTTCTCCTCCCTGTCAAAAGTGTGTAGCCCACGGCCAGGTTATATGGGGACTTGTTTTCCTTTTTTTTTTTCTTTGCAGTACTGGGGATTGAACCTGAGGTGCTTTACCATTGAGCTACATCCCCACATCCCCAGTCCTTTCAGTCCTTTTTCTTTTCTCTTGAGATAGGGTGTCTCTAGGTTGCCCAGGCTGGCCTCAAACTTGCCGTCTTTCTCCCGCAGCCCCCTGGGTGACTGGGATTACATATGTGCACCACCACTCCCTGCTTTCATTTTCCTGATTATAGTGCCTTTGGGGTTCTAGAACACAGGTGTTCAATGTAAACATAATACAAGCCACATATGCAATTTAAGTATTTTAGTTGCCATATTAAAAAACAGGAAATAATTTAAATGAAGTTTTATTTAATCCAATATATAAAAGTGTGATTTTAACATGTAATTATATAAAAAAATTATTAATGAGGTATTTCCATTCTTTTTTCATACTAAGTCTTGGGAGTCTGGTGTATATTATATATAAAACTTATTGCACATCTTATTCAGATCAGCCACATTTCAAGGGCTCAGTAGCTAGATGTGGCTAGTGGCTGCCATTCTAGTCAGCACATTTTTTAGATCCTGATAAAAACTGCGGACTACATCAGCAATTTGCTTCATGTACATAAGTGCACACAATTTCAAATGCAAATAGTGATTCACATTCTATCCAAGGTCTGGCCACCAGGCCCATCAGTGCACCCTTGATTTAGAAACCTTTACATTCTCTCCAGCTRTATTGTGAAGAAACCTCCCATATTTCTTGCTGCCACTTGTTTCCCTCCCCAACCTTCACGGTTCTCCATATCCATAGAGCCAAATATTGTAAAAATACATTAAACCAGATTTTTCTTAGGTTTGTATTTTTCTGATTTGTAGGTGAACGTGAGTAAAAAGAAAGGAGATGGGGATATACTGAAGGATCTTATGAAAACTGCAGGCACCGCCAAGGTCAGGGAGGCCCTTGGAGATTACCTGAAGGCACTTAAGACGGGTAAAGAAGGCATCCCTTGTGAACCAGAGGGTTCCTTTTCTATTTACCCAAATTATGCTCTGCACTGTGGTCTGGATTCTCAGGTTAAGCTCTAAGCACACCTCTGTGTACTGCAGAATAAATTGTAGTCTCGATGTTGAGAGCTAAGTCATGGGTAAGAACATTATAATTAGTGATCATCGGTATTGTACACAGCATGAACCATTGTGACTACAGAATTGTTAATCATAGTTTTCTGGAATGAAAATCTTCTAATCAGTTGTTTGTGTAATTACTTGTTTAATGTCTATCTTCCCTGCTAGACTATAAGCTCCATGAGGGCATGGAAGGTGTCTGTCTTATTCACAGCTGTACCTCCAACATCTAGCACAATGCCTGGCACAGAGTAGGTGCTTAATAAATTTTGTTGAATGAATGAATGTATGAATGCAAGTGATTGCAGGTATTATAGGTGTAGTTGAGATACACCTAGATAGTCCCTGTGCTGCATGGAAGTGAGGATGTTGTCTTCTCCCTGAATTAGRGGAGTTTCCCGCCAGGCAGAATGCTCGGCAGGGCCATATCCTGCATTTCATTCTTGGGCCTGCCATCTAAGCATCGAAGTATTGGCATAGATAGGTTTRGGGTTGCCTCTTTTCCCACAAAACTGCACATGTAGCATGTGTGCGGCTGGCTCACAGACTTGAAAATTGTGAGAACAAGCTTGGTGAGGTGGTGGTGAAGCAACCAGAAAGTGTCCAGTTTTGATAGTAGGTGAGTTAATCATATAAAACTTAGCTATTTGGAAAAGAAGTTTTGAAAATTCTACCTTTTTTTTTTTAAGAACTTGATCAAAGGAATTTGAAAAAAGAAAATAGCAGACTTTTGTTGCTTCATAAAATTCGTGATGTGAAGCACCAGTAGTCTATGGAGTAGTCTTGAAATCCTCAAAATGCTGTAGGAATTCTTTTACAAATATCAATTTTTTWAAATTTTCTCACATGCTATTTCTACCTTACTCTTTGTGCTTAAAAGGAAATAAATCTTTATTGAAACCATTTCCCACATTTTTTTATAGAATTTACAACTGGAATGATTTTACCAACAAAAGCTTTGTCAACGCAGGAATTAACTGTTAAAAGGAAACCAAGTGAAAATACCTTGCAGGTATGAGACCTTTGGTGCCAAAGTGTGGGGAGGGGAAAAAGGAAATGCTTAAGTGAATCAAAGCTCCAGATGGTCTATTGATGATGAAGAACAGTAAGGAAGGCATTAATCTACCCTTGCATCCCCTGTGACACTTTAAGATTTGCCATTTTGTTGTGGAAATGATAAAAGGAGACCCTTGTGTGTTTTGTGGTGCTGGGAATTGAACCCAGGGCCTTGTACATGCTAGGCAAGCACTGTACCACTGTGCAACATCCCCACACTGAAAACTTTCATTCTTGATGTAAGAAAATGTGTAAACAGGACTTTTAATGGTCCCTTCCATCAAGAATGAGTCTCAGGAGCACACCTGTAATCTCAGTGGCTTGGGAGGCTGAGACAGAGGATCGCGAGTTCAAAGCCAGCCTCAGCAATGGTGAGGTGCTTAGCAACTCACTGAGACCCCATCTCTAAATAAAATACAAAAATAGGCTGGGGATGTGACTCAGTGGCCAAATGGCCCTGAGTTCAATCCCCAGTACCAAAAAAAAAAAAGTCTCAGGCTGGGAAGGTAGCTCAGTGGTAGAGTGCTTTCCTGGAACGCCCAAGGGCCTATGTTCAATTCGCAGGACTGTCCCCACCCCCAAACATATGTATCCACACACACACCAGTGGTATACACACATGAGTGGATGGCAGGCAGTGTTCTTTGCTAGGCAAGATTATAAAACCTTACCAGGTGACTTTTAGGTTCACATACCACAGTGGAAGAAACTTTTCTCTTGACTTTGGGGGTGGGAGATTTTAGGTCCTCTTCTTAGAATTGGGGAATGTGTGCATGTGTATCACCCTTTAGCTTTAAGTGTGATCATCTTTCATCCCATTTGTTATACCCCCTGGGTATGTCCAACTGGGATTAAAGTGTGTTTAGCCATAGCCTGGGATTGGAACAGAGCTTAAGAGCTCATAGGAACAATAAGCTTTTTCCAAAGTGAAGACCTGATAGAGCTAAGAAAAAGGCTTTTCTTGATGCTTTCATGTGTGTTTGGAAGGTGTAGTGTAGAATTTGGGATGGTTTTATTGAGAAGACTAAAATCCCAGCATTGTTCTCTCTTGATGTGCTTCATTATTCCCTGGAACCTCTTCTCTTCTTGAGGCTCATGCCTCATCTCCAGTGGCACTGGGCGTAAGGATTCCCACTGTGGCTCTGCACATGACGGAACTGTTTGATACAACAGTAGAGCAGCTATATGGCATTTTCACCGTGAAGGATGTAAGTCAACTCCCTAAGCTTGTATCCTAAATGCTAACATTGGGAGAAAATGTGCCACAAAGAACAGGAGGTGTTGTTTTTCCTTGTGGCTCTGGGTTTGATTGAAGTGCTATGGGACAGTGGTGATGAAAATGAAGGAGAATGGCTTCTAAATAATTTGAGGGGACAAAGATGGGTGGTTTGGGGGCCTGTATCAGCAGTTATAGGATATAGTAGTTGATCARATTTTCTCCCTGTAGGTAAGAAAGCAAGCAAAAGATGTGGCCAGGATTAAAACAAAACAAAAAAACCCCAGAGTTAAATAATGTACTTTACCCTTAAATTAAAAAGGTAATAGCAGGGCTGAGAGTGTAGCTTGGTGATAAAGTGCTTGCCTAGAATGCCCAGCACCTTGAGTTTGACACACACGCACACGGTAACAGCATGTGTTGGAATGACATGTCTGTTGTGTTTTGCTTGGCTAGTTGGTGCAAAAATTTTCCAAAGCTCCTGCTGTATTAGAAGCTGAAAAAGGAGGAAAATTCCAAATGTTTGATGGGAACATCACTGGTGAATACCTAGAATTGGTAAGTAATCACAGGGACTTAATTCTTGTTTTCATTAATATTGGTCTTTATGTCTGTGCTGGTTTTAACTTGATTTGGGCTTTATCTGAGCTCATATTATCTTGAAAATTTTATAGTTATTCGTAAAATATTTGAAAGTGGTTATATACACACAGACATCATTAAGTGTTCAAAGTAATGATAAAGCTATAAAYAGTCAGTTATCATGCAGATGCTTAATGATTTTCAAAAAAACAGATTTTGGGCTGGGATCTAGTCCTAGCACGGGAAGAGGATAAGAAGGTCTGAATCTAACTCCAATCAGTCCCTCCTCTGGTTCTGTCATTAGAGTGTGTTGCCTAATGTCACTTACTTCATCCTTGACATTGGCTCAGTTGTGGCTACCAGTATTACTTACTGTTCTGTCTTTGATGTTAATGCTGTTAGCAGTAAAGAATGGATTATTGGTCATGCCAGCATGTAAAACTGAAAGGTATTGTTCACTGATTTCTTCTCGTACTTAGGGATTTTAACTGAAAAGGATTGTCTTTTTCTGTGTTGTTCTGTGGGAGGTTTAAAAAGGTGTTTTCAGTGGAATTTTCTTTTGTTTTTCAGTTAAAAAACAGCAAGATTGTCATGAAATGGAGGTGTAGGAACTGGCCAGAAGGTATGTTATATGATCTTTGTGTATAAAGGTCCAACCACACTAACATTGGTATGGAGAAATTTTCCTTTTCTTAGTGCAGTAATAAGGCTYCTATTTTTCTTCCAGAACACTATGCAACAGTTGCACTGAATTTTGTACCTACTCTAGGGCAAACGGAATTACAATTGGACTGTAAAGGAGTTCCTGTCTGTAAAGAAGAAAATATGAAATTCTGTTGGCAGAAGCAGCATTTTGAAGAAATAAAAGGTTTACTCCGGCTGCCCACCCTCAATGGTTGAATAGGTTTTATAAGGGCATTTTTTTTGGTAGTAAAACGTATCATATTTCACGTCCCTGTCTTTCCTTAAAAAAAAAAAAAAAAACAAGACCCCCCAAATCTTAATTTGATATTGGATGAAATCCAGGAACTTATACAGAATTAAAAAGCATTGTTTGGCTAATTTCAGTTGAAAATAGTAAGCAACCTGAAATTAGGTCTGTTTACCCCACCTTCCATAGATTTCCTCTGGAAATAGACGGCATAAAGATAGTTGAAGCTTCCCAAGGTAAAGGTAGTCCTAACAAGCTTACTCTCAGATGTAGTTTAAGTTAAAGAAGATAAAAAATAAACGGCATGTTATAATAATCCTTTGTTTTACTTTAGGGTTAAGGTGTGTAGCTCTTAGGTAGTTAAACAGTGGCATGTTGCATTTCAAAAGCCTGCTAACTTGAGGGATAGTTGACTGTGTGCTGTTACACTCCTCTCTGTCCTTTTTGGTTAGCCCTGCAACAGTTATGCACTCTGGGGTAGAGAGGACTAAGAAGTTGATGGGCTGAATTGCTTTTTGGGACTCCCATGAAGACTTGTAATGAAACAGAATGGAGTGGATAATTGCTTCTCCCATTCATGGTTTCCTCAGTACTTGCATCTGAGAAGACCGAAGCAACGTATGTAAACAAATAAAAAGTCATCACAATCAGTTTAATTAAGTGCACAGAATAGCAATCAGTCATGTCAATAAAAATAAAACAATTATTTTTACATCAAGTGTGCTTTATTTCCTCCACAGGTATTCTGTTAAATAAAGCACCATTTATATACTGCCAGGCCACAGCTAAAGAGGATTCTTTACAGAATCAAATTTCTTGTGGTTGTTCCGTATACAAGTAAACTTAATTTTGATAATAAGAACCACAGCGATCGGAGGCAATCTGCCTCTATTATAAGGTACAAAACTGGCACAGAGGACACCATATTATACACAGTAAAAATGCTGTAAGTTTAAATTACATTGTACAGGGCTAGGAAACCCTGTTTCTCCCAGACAGCCATATTAAATGAAAGCCACTACAGTGAACTCTTAATTACATAAAACATATCCATTATCTGATTGCCCTTTAGAAAGTATACTGAAGATGCAAGTTTTTTCATCTGGATCTGCCTGACCAAGAATTAAGCCTATAAATCTATCTTGCCATTCAAGCAGAGAGCACTGGACAAACTGAAGCACAAAACAAATAAGCAAAACTTATACAAACAGCATGGGGCGGGGGGAAGGGTACTTAAAAGTAGACATGCTACATCTAGTGTCAAGAAGCAGCTTGGTTTCCTTTACTGGATATCCTTGTGACCACATGGATTGTAGATTCAATGGTCCTACACAGGGTATCTAAAATGTCATGTTGCTGCATGTGACTAAAGAGTCCTCTGGAATGGCCACAACTGAGTGATAAAGCAGCTTCAGGGTCCTGGGAGGGCAAAGCTTGACCATCACAGCTTCTCAAGTCAGCTAAATCAGACAGAACTGCAGAGATAGAAGTAGAAGGGAACTCAGAGTCTTCCTCAGTGAGGGTGGGATCCTTGGAACAGTGGAGGTCTTTAAATTCTTTACAATCTTCAAATCTACCATTGCTGGACTGTTCTTCCGCTTGCTGTGACCTGATATTTGACATRTCTTCTGAAAACGAAGATGGAACTTCCATTCGGTATTCTTTAACAGAACTATTTTCAGGGGAAGGAAGATCTTGCTCAGTTCCTGGATCGATAATTGAGGAGTCTCTTGTTTCATTGTCTGAAGTGCTAGTTGGGGTTAGGGCTTCCCTGGTTTCTGTTTTCATGTCACTGATGCAGCTGTCTACAGTGTGCTCCTCGTCACTGCTAACACGTCTTCTTTTAACAGGAGTGGCCCCTTCATCATCTGTGAAGACAAATATCAAAATGAAACCTTCTCTGGAAGTGGTCATAAGATCACACATAGGGGAGAGTAACTGTGGGAAGGCAATTTTGTTATCAACATTTATATTTGGGAAATTCAATGGAATATACAGCATTTTAAAGTCCATTACATCATGCATTCTTTCCATTCCCAACCCTAAAGGTAGAGTATTAATGTCCATAAAGCTAACCTTTAGTTTTTCTTTCTTTGGCTTCTTGCTCTTGGAGTGAGTTTCTTTGTTGCAGACAAGTCCTACATTTGCTTAAAAGCTCTTGCAGAGTTGGAATTAGAGCTGGATTTAACTGTTTGGGAGTGTGTACTGACAGAAGCAAAGCAAGAGCCCTCAGGTCCTACAAAAACCCAGAGAGGAACATTTCAATTTTTAAAGCCAACCTTTTGACACAACCATTTTGCAGGTAAACACAGATTATTTACTTTCCCAGAAGTCCATTCTGGTTTAGTTTCTCTGATATTTTTTAGGAAAAAAGTATACTAACACTGGGCTTGGTGGTGCATGCCTGTAATCCCAGTGACTTGGGTTGCTGAGGCAGGAGAATCCCGAGTTTAAAGCCAGCCTCAGCAACTTAGTGAGACCCTGTCTCAAAATAGAATATAAAAAAGGCTAGGGATGTGGCTCAGTGGTTAAGTGCCCCTGGGTTCAATTCCTGGTACACACACAAAAAAAACGGGGGGGGGGGGGGAGACGGACACTAAAATCAGCCAGCATTGGGATACTACTATATTTCATCAGTGCTAAGTCACTAATTTTAAGCTCATGTCAAGTAAGACAGACTTAAGTCAGTATTTTTCAAAATAGAAAAAACAAAACAAAAAAAACCTCATGGAGACTTAATTTTAAAATCAAACCTTCAATGATCCATGAGAAATTTAGGTCTTAATATAGAAGTCACAGTTTCTCAAGCTAAATTCTGATGAATGTCACAAAGGTCTTGCTCACTTAGCTTCACAATCTGTTCTGGTTTGTAAGCATCTTGTTACTTAGGAGGCTGCTGAGTGATATTCTTGCACATATTTCCAGGTTCCATTCTGTGACACAGCTGTTGTAGGGATCTACACAAAGCAACTAATTCTCTAGTTTTAACTGCCTTTTATAATCAATAGGTATTAGACTGTTCAGGTTACTTAGAGTCAGAGGCAGTAACAGAAACATCACAAGTAATGTTTCAAAAAGCAAAAACAAGCAGAGATAAAGGGAATATTTCTTTGTAGTTTTACTGTTCTTAAAATACTTCATGCATTAGCTCATCTTTTAAGGTGATAGAAGTGTGCTCTATACACACAAGGCACAGCAAACACATTTTTAAAAACTTTTTTTCATTGCTTGTAACTTGGATGGTAAAATCTTACAAAGGCCAAACAGAGTTGATTTAAGGAGAATTTAAGAACATGCCCAGTCTTTTACATAGTTCTTACCCCATTTAAAGAAGCACTTGCTTTGGAAATTTCAACTCGGTTGGTGAAATCAGACTGTAGATTCTGATACTGATTTATTAAGTTGGTAATAAGGGTGCTGATCAAATTGGCACAATTTGCTTCTGAAAACACTTGACTTTGAACCTGAAAAAGATGGTATAAAAAACATCTCCAAAAGACCAATAAAAACATGCATTGTTTTTATTAACTAACTAGAAGTGACAGTTTCTAAAGCTCTACGCACCTTTAGAAGGAAATGTGTCATGAATGTGTAGACAATATTGTTGTTTAGAAAAGTCCTTTCATCCATTAGGATACATTTAATATATTCTGCAAAAACAGGATCTTCACACAAAAGCTTGATGCAGTTTTTTGACATAGCAGACTAAAGTGGAGAGAAGCAGCACTGATGGTTAACCAATGAAGTAATAATGGGGACTTAAATGTCATGTATGACAGGACATTTAAAGTCACTTTAAATCATTGTTGAAAAGACASTTCCAACACAGTCTATGCAACTTGCAATTATACCAACTGTGCTCCCAACACATTAAAATATTACAAATTTGGACTATATACCTGAGTGTAGGGGAAAGAAACAAAGTCAAAACTGAACATGCTTTAAACGAAGGCTGAGGGATGAAGATTGAAAGTTCAAAGCTAGCTTCAGCAACTTAAGCCCTAAGCAACTTAGTGAGACCCTGTCTCAAAAGAAAATAAAAAGAGCTAGGGTTGTGGCTCAGTAGTTAAGTGCCCCTGGGCTTAATCCCTTAAAAAAAAAAAAAAAAAAAAAAAAAGAAATGTTGCTTTACTATCTAGCACTGAGAAGAACTAACAAGGACTGGAAAGATAAAGCTAATAGAATAGGATGAGAATGTTTTCAGGGACTCAATTGTTATCAATCACAACAAAACCACATCTAGAGAAAAGACAAATTAACAATTAAAATATATTCTTTAATATGTGCTAAACTTTATTATCTGATCTCATTAGTAACTGTAATTTGGTAAATACTTCTCCACCTTTTATTGCAAAGGTAAACAATAACCTCTTTCCATAGTTATCTCAGAGAATTAGTAGTTCCAAGTACCCAGAAATTTCACTAAAATTTGGTTTTCCTGTTTGCAAATAATTCTGACTTTTAGACATGAGAAGTATTATCTCTAAACAGGTGTGTGATTTAATAAAAGTATTTATATGGGGGAAAAAAGGACTTTTTTTTAAAAAAATTGGAGCTTTATGGTTACACATAGTCATCTGGGTTCATGCTGACAAACACATATACATGTAAATCACTTTTAGTTCATGATCACCCTTTTCCTTCCTGTCCTTCCATTTCCCTTTTCTTTCCTCTACTCTAATAATCTTTCCTTTGATCATTTATTAATTTGTATTTTAAATTTTTAAATATTTATTTTTTAGTTTTGGGTAGACACAATATCTTTCTTACTTTTATGTGGCACTGAGGGTAGAACCCAGTGCCTGATGCATGATAGGCAAGCACTCTACCACTGATCCACAACCCCAACCCCTGTATATGATTTTTTAATGTACTAAAAGACTTTAAAAAGTTGAATAAGGGGCTGGGGATGTGGCTCAAGCGGTAGCGCACTCGCCTGGCATGCGTGTGGCCCGGGTTCGATCTTCAGCACCACATTCAAACAAAGATGTTGTGTCCGCCGATAACTAAAAAATAAATATTAAAATTCTCTCTCTTTAAAAAAAATTTTAAAAAAGCTAATCTTATAGTGATGAAATAAAGATTTTAAAAAAAAGTTGAATAAAGTTTAGATAGTATACACATGTGTATACTTAATAAGGGTAATGAACTGTCATAAGAACATAAAAATAGAGTAGGAATAGGACCCAGGTCTTTAGACCTTTAGTTTTAGGAAAGTCTGCCTTTTCCATGAAAAGGGCAACAGCATCAACAGGGCAGGGGGAAGCAGAGATCTGCTCCAATTTACTGAACAAACCACTCAGCTCAAAAACCAACCAGGGAGCCCTCATCCCCTTTGTTACTAGGGACTGAACCCAAGGGCACTCTACTGCTGAGCTACATTCCCTCCCTCTCCTTTTTTTAAAAAAAAATTTGAACAGAATCTTATTAAAATGCTGAGGCTGGCCTTGGATTTGTAATCCTCCTGCCCTAGCCTTTCAAGCTGCTGGGACTACAGGTGCTTGCCATCAGCCTGGYGCAGAGAGTCACTTTTTGAATGCCTACCACACTATAAGTTGTGTGAGCTAAATGAGACCCATGCCTCTCAAGGAGACCTACTGAAGAAAATAACATTTCACCAAAAGAAACAGATGATACCATATAAGACCTCTCAGTTTGGGAAAAGGACACAATGAATAACAATCATTACAGTACTTTGTGACAAACATCTAG